GGGCGCTGAAGTCGCCATAGCTAATTGAGAGTGAACTCGTATCTGAAAGCCATATCTCCGAGTTTTTGAGTGGCCGCATGTCGCCAGTATGCTGCATTGCTGTTTACATGCATGAAAAGTGTGTTTGAGAACGAGTCTGATTGCAAAAGAGAAAACTATGGCGCTGTCAGGGTTTGAGTTTGAAAATACACTTGAGGCAAAAGGGCCGGTAATGGTGAATGTATATGTATATATCGCATACTTGCAAGCGTGCTCGTGCGGTCCGGTCCGCTTTGCTGCGTGCGGCACCCTCCCCCCGGACCGGACAGGACTGGACAGGACTTTTTTTTTTTTTTTTTTTTTTTTTGGGGGGGGGGGGGGTAACTGGTCGTCGGGCGCACATTCGTGCGCTGCGCGGGTACGGTCCGGCACTCCGCTGCACGTGCGGAACTGCGCGGACGGCGTCCGCTTGCAAGTATGATATAACGGTATTATAACCTAGGTTTCGGGTCAGGTGGGGTCACGTGGAGGTGTGTTGTGTTTGCGGGATTGCCTGAAGTGCATTTTCAAACTGTTTTCTTGACTGCGCCGAAGTTACGCCAAAAAAGGGTGACGGCCTTGAGATATCTTCCTTGAAGTGAGCCGCCCCAGGTAATTCAGAATTATTGGATTGAAAGTTTTTTGAAACTGATTCCACTCATCCAGGTCCATCAGGATTCGAACTTGGGTCTTTATTTCAACTGTTCATGGGTGTACCAACTGAGCTGAGCTCGGTGGTAAATCGCATAGATTCGACAATCGTGCAAATTGCAAAAACAAAGTTGTCGGCGGTGAAGCCATCCTCACTCTCTCCTCCTCCTCTCTCATGCTTCAGCATTGCATTTGGTGAACTGGACGTCATGCATGACAGGTACCCGTCGAATCAACAACGACGTGCTCGGGTGAATTCAGCATTGGATTGGGAGCTATCGACATTACGGAGGGGATGCAGTAAGTAGCCAGCGATCATCGGAAGCTGCTGATCAGGTTCACTTTCTCCAAGAGTGGTGGATGGACGGATGATGACAGATGGTGGTGGCTAGAATATTGAATGTCATTGAGACAGAGATGTGCATGTGAAAAAAATGATGGCGCATGATGATGATGATGATGATGATGGTGATGATGGTGATGATGGTGATGATGAAGATGATGACAATGACGACGACAATTATGATGATGACGACGACCATTGCGACCGTGATGATAAGGGCAAGGATGTGCAGCGCACCGATGGTTAATACTGATAACCAAAGACACTGCAGTGAGAGCAGATATGGTGAAAAGGAATGATGATGATGGTGATGATGATGATGTTGTGGTGGTGTTGATTGTCGTTGTCGTCGCAGTGGTGGTGGTGATCGTGGTCGTTGTTGCGTCTTGTTGTTGTCGTCGTCGTCATCGTATGAACAGTAGTAACAGTAGTGGCAATGGTGGTCGTGGTGGTGGGGGCGGTGGTGTTAGTAGTTTATTTACGCTTGAAACTGCCAGAACTGTTGAGCAATTGTAACAAATAGAAACTGCTGAATTCCACCTTTACGAAGGACAAAAAATTATCTTGTTTCTATGATTGCTTGCTCCCCTTCCTCCTTTTCCCCCTCCATCCTCTCTTACTCTTTTTTTGCAGAACAAGCAGCCAAGCAGTTGGGCTGAGACAGAATGATTCTTGATTTGTTTTGCTCACCTCCACCATCTTCCCTCTTTTGATCATTCAATAAGCCAAGCAGCTGGCCTGAGACAGAATGATTCCTGTCTCTCCTTTTTTTTCCTTTTCAAAAGAGCAGGTAGGCCCTAACATTTGTTGTATCACAACAGGATTTGAAGTTTGAACCCTTGATCTGGTTATCAACAGGTACATGTGTATAGTACTGTATACCATTCAGCTATGAGCCATGTGTGTACACAGTGGTTCATGTCCCTGCTAAGGTAAGTGAATATGTGAAACTGTTATGGTTGCAATTGCCTCGGTGACTTTTTACACTGGTGAGACTCTTAAGGGGATAGTACTCATACTACAGAATTCACCCGCATACAACGTACAGTCGTTATGGCTGTATTTGGGTATCTACTATTTTTAGTATTTTAGTATTTTACTATTTTTCCATCTAAATACAGCAAGAATGACCGTACATTGTATTCGGGGGTGAAGAAGAAAGGACTTTGTTGGATATATCCGACCGCATGTTCAGCAGATCAAGTGCAGAATATTTGGGAAAAGAAAAAAAAAAAGAATAACAGTGTAAGGTGGATGAATGTACATTTTCCTATTAGACTCAAGGAGTGTCCCCGACTTGTTTTTCCGGCTTGTCATCACCACCTCCTTATGCTCCTCAGCAACAGAGGGTCAACCTTTTTTTTCTTACTGCTGACACTGTTTTGCCCTGTTTCTCTTTCTTTTTTTCCAAATGTGTCGAATAAAAATGGTGTTCAGCTGAACTTGTGCTAAGCAAGGTCCTGGGGCCAATCTATGGGATCTCTGTTCCTGACAAGACGGAGAAGTATAGCCGGGAGATTCTGAAGAAATCACTGGGTCTTCTGGAAGACTATTGGTTGAATGGCCCAGGACGGTTCATTGCCGGTGAATGCGCGCCCACAATCGCCGACTTGAGCCTCGTCTGCGAACTGAAACAGCTGGATGTAAGTGATTGATTGGTTTTGTGTCTGAATTGGCCTCCTACTCCTTTTCCTTGATTTTCAGGACTTCAGTGAGTGCAAGTATATCTTTTTTTATCTATTATTCTGATATTTATGATTTATCTATTATTATTATCTATTATAGACTATTATGATATTATATCTATTATGATATTATTATTATTATATCTATTATCATAGTATTATGATATTATTATCTATTCGTTTATGCTTCTCATTGATCCATCAAGGCTGTCTCTTTGCGTACAAGCCGTGGTCCAGCGGCTTCCTTTTTTTCAAATACCCCTCATTTTCCCCCACTCTTCCCCTCACCCCACGACCTGTCTGGCCACCCATCTTCCTGATCCCAGGAGCTCTTTATCAGTCCACCAACCCCCCAAGGTCCTCTCCTTTCCTCTTCTCCCAGTCTTGCCAGAAGTTTCCACAATCAAGCAAAGTGCGCACACGACTCAAAAACTTCTTGTGCGCGCGCTTGGATGCATATTGAAACACAATTTCCTGCGCCCATTTCGTTTGCTTACCTCTTTGGCAGAACACTGGCCCAGCCCAGACTCATCATGCCATTGCTGTGGTCCTGTCCATCGTCTTATTTGAACCGTCACTTCTTTTTTGTTTTTTTAAAAACAATTCTTACCGGCTACTAGGGAGGGTGATGCTGCATTGAACCATCACTCTTCCGAAGCCCATTTTGCCAAATTTATTGCCTAGCGTGCGAATCGCAGTGAGGTGAGGTCTGTTGCTGGCAGCAAACCTTCCTGTCTTCCCAGGGATAGACGTGCTGCACTGCGCGCCAAGCCTCTTTCTTTTTTTTTCCTTTTTTTTTTTTTTTGGTTATTAAAAGGTACAGCTCCGGGACTTCCCAGGAGGTCACCCATCCCAGTACTATTCCGGCCCAACGGCGCTTGGCTTCCGAGTTCGGATGGGATCGGGTGCATTAGCAGTGGTATGACTGTATGATAAAAATGTGGACCATTTCTCAATTTATGCGTGTCATCCTTGTGCAGGGGCCATGCTAATCTTCTCTGTATCGTTCCAATTTTAACGGATGTCCCGAAGGACGCGCCAAGCCTCTTTCTGAACCGCCAGGGGCGCACCCTTTTTTTTTTTTGTTTGGCTGGCGCCGCCAGCCATTGTGGTTCAATAGCCCCGAGCTGGGAAAATTTCGGAGGCGGCTGATTTCCTTTAAGGCTGGGGCCGTGTACTGGCGGTTTAAGGCAAGCTCCTGTCTGTTAGCAAAGTTTAGCACTATTCTGTCTGTGCTCGGTAGTGGGTTTCTTTTGCTGTTTCATTCTTAATTTCTTATTCTATTCTTGTCGACCTTGTGTATTGAGTTTATGAAATTTCAAATTTTTGACAGCATCACGGCGCATGTGGTTTAATCCATGAAGAAATCCTTTGGTGTATCCATTTTCGAACATCTTGTTAACATTCTCCGATACTTAACCCCATATGGAAAACCAAAGGATTTTTCCATAGATTAAACGATCCAGGCCAATGAGGCCATGATGTTTCCCAATGCATAAAACATGATCCACCAGATTAACAAGAGTACAAAGTTACAAACATAATGGAGTAACAATTCAACAAAATAATTTTCAAAAGAAACAAAACTACTGAGTGCGGAGGCTAGTGTTGCAGTTAGGATCTTGGCTCAAGTCTACATGAAACCGATAGTCTGCGATGAGAAGCAGTAGTGGCGGAGCAGCAGCAGCAGCAGCAGCAGCGGCAGGAGGAGGAGGAGAAAAAAGCAGCAGAACCCGCCCTACGGCTTTTACCTTTCTAGCTCCACAAGTGGTTACGGTGGGGGTTGGGGTGGGGGTGGGGGGGTGCTCTACACTGCCTACGTATGTTCAATTGGAGAAATGAGTGCATCCCAGGTGAGGGCACTAGCAAACAACACTCCACCATTTGTTTCCTGAAAATGATTGCTCCACTGGTTTTCATAGACCCAAGATTTATGTTTTATGCAAGCAACATAGGCTTTTAGAGTCCTCACAAAGAAGAACAAAAAAAGAGAATGCGCGAATTTCAAGAATTTGTTCTATTTTGAATAGTATTTTCCATTTTACTATTTGTTGTGCAAAGTCAGCAGAAGCAGAAGCAGAAGCAGAAGCAGAAGAAGAAGAAGAAGAAGAAGATGAAGATGTTGTGGTTTTGGAGTCACCTTTTTACAACCGCCTTTGAATTGGTTCGATGTTTGGCATTTTTTTTCCGGTGGTTGTGGTTCTGGGTCTGTGGGAGCAGCTGATGGATGTCGAGGAGCGCAGTGAAATTGTGGACAAGTACAAGCGCGTTCAGAAATGGATGGCAGAGGTAGAGCAGGAGCTAGGCCCTCATTTCGAAGACGTTCACAAGGTACATTACGTTGTTGCAGCACGCGCTCAGGCAGGACGTGAGGAGATGCCGGAATCAGAGCGCCATGCTCGACAGAGCATTCTTGAATGCTTAACTCCAGCATGACCAGAAAAGCAGCAGAGTGGCCAATCCAGCGCGCATTCCGTACTATCCGTGCCAAGAGAGTGCGACGGTCTCAGGTAGTTTGTGCTCGCTGCACAGTCATCCCACTGACTAATCAAGGGAAACTTCCTGGACAGAAAGCGCAACATTCCCCCGCAAGTGGTGCAATTTTTTTTTGCTAGTCATGTTAAGATTCTAAAGATTTGATGTAATGACATGACCCTGTGTTCCCGACCCTTTCATCGAACCATTTTCCTCGATCCGGAAACGAGGATCAGGACAGGAAAGATACCTCCCGCTACCTGTGGTGGATCCACCTCCGTCACGGTGTGTTGTATTGTCTTTCTTGTCCAGTTCCAAGTTCTTTGGTGCATTGACTCACCTCTCCTGCAAGGCAGTGGAAGGGACCAGAGAGCACAGAGGCATCCTTGCCACCAGATTGAACTTACTCAAGAGTCCCGCTGCAACGACTCATGGTAGTCATGAACAGCGGAGGGGGTCACTGGGATTAGTCCTCCCTTTGTTGAGCCCCAGCTGTTTTTTTTTTTTTTTTTTTTTTCTGTTTTGTGAGTCAGATATCCTTTATTGTTGACAAATGAAGAGGGCCAAGAAATTTTTCTATCGTCCTGGTCCAGAAATTTTGGCCACTATTCTTGGATTGATGCTAGTCCAGGCGGCCGATTCAGCCGTTCTGGTCCTGGTCCTGTTGTCAACCCTGTTCCTGGACCGGATCCTGTTCCAGGTCCTTGTCTGACTCCTTTATTCTGCTGCTGTACTCCTTTGCACCTGAGTTGCTGAAGAACCATAAGCCAATTTTTTTTTTTGTTTGGCCTGATCAGCCGCTCCTTCCATGGTCTTTGATATCTTTGCTGCGACCTGCTCCCCTTCCATTTTTCTTTTTCGGTCATTGCACCAGCCGTGATCAGAGGCTCTTTGGTATCTTTGCTGGGACCTGCTCCCCTTCTCACCACGCTTGCCACGTAGCAGCAGCCTCACAAGGAGAGTACAGGTCAGTACAAGCAGGACCACCAAAAGCAGAGCATCCAGGAGCTGCCAAGGCAATTGCACCCCCAAGGAACCCTTGAGGTGCTTGTTAGGATGAGGTTTTCCCTCCGAAGAATCAGTTCTACGGTCTTTTGACTCTTTTTTCTGTGCATGCATCATTTTGAACAAGCTAGTTGATTCTGTAGTACACTCTGTACACACCTCTTCATAGCAGCCCCCCCCCATTGGGTTATGAACAGTGCCACGAGTCAGTGTGGATATTCTGTGCCTCAGTTGATTTCGTGGCATTCTGGTGAAGGTTGTCGACCTTCATGGTCCTTGAGACTCCTTCTCATGAACTTACGGCTTTTTTAAAGTTTTTTTTTTTTTTTTTTTTTTTTTTGTGAATTTCATTTTGTTTTTGGATGTGGATAAGCGCGGTGGTTCATCAGCTGCATAGGGTACCTTGAGCAATGAGTTTCTCTTGTATATCTGCCGTGAGGCTCTCAAGGTCCTCCAAGCGCTTGCTCACATCGTCGGAGGTCCGAAGGTTTACTGTAAATTTTGTAGTACAGTCCTACATGGGACTTCCTTACGCCGCCACTAGCTCAGAGCCTCTTTTTTTCCGAGGCGGAGTAGAAAACTGCATGCGAAGCATCGGCGGTTTTTGTTTTGTTTTGTTTTGTTTTGTTTTGTTTTGTTTTGTTTTGGCTGTTGCTGCCAGCCTTTTTGGTCCGGTAGCGCCCACCGGCCGGGCTCGGCCAACCTCCGAAGAATGCGGTATACCGGGTATAGGCTATATTTAGGACTTGGCTTCCAGTCTGAAAGGTAGTCGTGTTATACACATCTAGATGTGTATAGAGGCCAACCTCCGAAGAATGCGGTATACCAGGTATAGGCTATATTTAGGACTTGGCTTCCAGTCTGAAAGGTAGTCGTGGTTTAAGGACACTCTCACACTCGGTCGGGTTGTCCTTATGGACCTTGGGGCTCTTCCTTTCACACAGGGCCTGTAGCAAGCTATGAAGGTCTCTCTCTAGGCACATCGACGGCACACAGACAGTCTGTAACAAGAGTTCTGAAGGTCTTTTTTTTTTCTGTAGGCACATCGACGGCACACAGACAGAGTCTGTAACAAGATTTCTGAAGGTCTTTTTTTCTGGTGCTTCCTGTGCTCATTAAGATGCTCTCCACATCTTGACGACTGCCGCCTTTTCTTCTGGTTAGACTATCTTCCACTGGAGATAGATAGACTCTGAGAGTCTGAGGCGAAGGGGAGACTAAGAGTTCATGCTATGTAGGGATACATAGAGTGCTACTAGTGTATGTATACTGAGCAACAACAGACTCGAGCGGACTAGTGGCCAATATGACAATTTAATTTAGAACGTCGTGAGACAGCTCGGTTCCTATCTACCGTTGGTGATCTGAAGAGAACTGAGAGAAGCCATCCCTAATACGAGAGGACTGGGATGGGTTAACCTATGGTGGACTGGTTGTCATGCCAGTGGCATTTTGCCGGGTAGCTACGTTGGTATGGGAGAACCGCTGACAGCATATATGTGACCCTTTTTTTTTTTTAAGTGACCCTTTTTCAGTTGTGACCGATTGTAATTCCTTGGCCGCCATCCGCCATTCTATGTGACGATGCCATCATCGTGCATGCTCTCTTGGATAACTCCTCAGATTTTGGTGCTTTGTCGTGCACACTCCCTCCCTGCTTTTTGTTGCTCTAAGGCAAGCTCTCTGTTTTGCCTGGCGGGCTGTCGTGTTATCAACTCTGCAGCTCTGCTAGAAATATCTTTTTAAGTGATTCGTTTTTTTTTATATTTTTTTTTATTTTTTAGGCAGTTATTCGCTTTTGGCAGCGCATAAAAAACGGAATGGTAAGTTTTTTGTGACGTGAGTGGAAGGAGTTAGCGCATGTGTCGAAGGTTCTGAGACGTTTTTTTTTTTTTTTTTTTTTAATATTCCGGCTTATGGTTTTGACTGATTGACTTAGAGGAGAACTTGGGTTTGAACTTTGAGGTTTTGGCATTAGGTTTCGCTGCGGAAGGACAAGCGTGCACTCATTTTTGTTTCGTCAAGGAAGGCGGCGGGTGGGAAGTGCACAGTTTGGGTTTCTGATAACGATTCAAAATGTTAAGGGCTTCTTCTTGTTTTCTCTCCCTTGATACTTCCGCTTCCGCGATTTGTGTGTGATCTTCTCTGTTTAGTTTTGGCCCTTTGGGGGAATTATGCGAAATGCTCACCTTGTCAAGGACTACAGAAGATGAGTTCCTTGATTCATGTGTATCACGAATTGCTGACCCTCAGAATAGATAGGGGTTGAAAAAAGAAGGAAAATGGGACTATGACAATCCACATAATAGGGTCCAAGGGAGCCCATCCATTCATCTAAAAAATATCACACTAGTAGACACGAGGCCAAAAAACTTGTTGAGCATTAGGGCCAGTCCCCACGGGTGCTATAGTCATGCTAGCAAGGCATGATCCTTGCTGCAGTTGTGGGCGGGTTCATGCTTTCCGCGAGCATGAACAGAGCTTCAGCGCGGACTGGCTCTTAAATAAACCACCATTATATTTACGAGCCTCCATTTCTAACGGGTGGTAAGTTGGTAACTACTGTCTTCACCCAAATAGAACGGCCGGTCATTATAACCGTATTTGGTGCACTTTTCAGTCCAGATACCGCGATAATAACCTGGCGTTCTATTTGGGTGAAGACGGTAGTAACTATAAGGTAGCCGACAGGCTCGGGAACAGTTGCCTCAGGTTCGGTGGCCAGGAACGGCGGTGTGGTGTTGTGTGCACGTGTGTGAGTGAGTATAGGACACTACAGCCATGCAGGGGTGGGGTGGGGTGGGGTAGATATCACGACTGGTATGGTTCCAGTTGCGAACACCATGTCATGGTTGTAGTGGTTAGACCACCAGTACCTTTCCCATGTATAGATCGGCTCAGGCCTGAATTTGCTCTGCGCGCCGGAGAAAAAAGAACCGACACGGATGTTTCTGGCTGCTGCTGCCAATGATATCTCCGCGGTCCTGAACTTGTGTGTTAACCGACGCGTTATCTTTTTCAAGCAGGGAAAGGTACTGGTGGTTCAAGTCTTTAAGAGACCCGGTTCTTTTGGCTATGGGTTGATGAAGCCAAAGCTAGAAAGTACTGATCAAGTACCTACTACTCTGGTGGGGGCTTGGAAAGCGCCGAGGTCTGTGGACTGGGTCGTCCATTCCTGAAAGGGTTTGCGCCTAGCCGCTCTGGCAGATGATACATTGGGGACCTGCTGGGTTCTGCAGTTGTAGAGAACTCGCCCTACCAGGCTCGAACCAAAGTAGGTAACCGGAGGGTTAGGTTCGTGGGTGCTTTCCTCCAGGTATGGTATGCTATGGTGGTGGTTTAAAGCATGGCCACCCCCAAGCCTAACTTGCTGAAGCTCTTCCATTAACTGATGGACTATGACAGCACCGCCACTTCTCAGTCTCTCTTGCTGATCCTCCCATTTTGTTGCCAGTGCTTTACCTGACAGCTAGCCATTCAAGGCGCCGGTGACAATAAAGGAATGTAGGATCGAACTGGGAGGAGGAACGAAGAGGAAATAGAAAGCCTTGCATTTTGCCGAAAGCTTGGGGGGACATGAACTTCAAAAGAAGAAAACGTCAGAACACCGAAGCCTCTGTGCCAGCTGTGGATCCTACAGTGGCATTCCAGGAGGTGTGCATATCACAGCAACGAAAAAAAGCTTCGGAGAGAAGACCATATCGGTACGCTGAAGCTTTTGTGAATGAATGTTGCGATGACATTTCAGCAGGAAGCGTTATCAACCGATGCGCATACAATTGCTACAAATGTATTCCTCGATGGTCATTGGAGTCCAAATTTACTTAATTTTCTCATTTCTTGAATTGATAACTGAACAATTGATGTACCTTTTTTTTTTACCGCCTCACAAAGATGCAAATTGATCAAATCATTCAAATGTCCTCTTTTCTCTTTTCGTAAACTGGACCTTATGGTGTAATTTATCTGACTCGTGAGACTCAAAGCTGCACCAGAATCTTGGCAATCGGAAGCCCGTTAGAAGAACAAGCGAATCACTAGGGAAAGGAATTGCTAACACCAGTCTCAGCAAGTCTTCCGATTTTTTCCACGCATCGGTTGCCTGTGGAAACATTAGAAAACATTGGCAAATATCACCGACTACCTCTTCTCGACGAATGACAGAGTTCCTTTTGGTGTATTTCCTCTTTTTTTTTTTTTTTTTTTTTTCTCTTAAACACGCCCCCACCAGTGTTAGTGGTGCTGATAAGAGCAGACACCACTAGCACCTTGCGAGAGGCTCCATCTATTGGTGGGGAGCATCACCTGTGCTGGAGAACGGGTCCAGCGTCCCATATACAGACTGAATTTGGAGTACATCCGAAAAACAATTGTGGGAGATTCCTGCCAGAGTTGATTACCCTGGGATCCAGGGGACTGACTGAGCAGGATATTGGAGGGAAGGGGGAACCTCTTCACCCTGAACCCGGCGCCAGATACCCACTGCTACACACTTAGTTCCACCCTCCCCCTACCAGCCTCAGTCCCAACTGTCAACTCCTTTTTTCAGCAGCTCCGACAAGTACCC